TAATCAAAATGAAAAATATATATAATAGGTTTAATAACAAATGAGACGTCATTTGAAAAAAAATTAGCAAACTCGAAGGCAGATTAGAAATAATTATCAGAATGCAGCCCAGAAAGACAAAATGAGAAAAAAAGTGGAATAAATTAAGAGAAATGGAAGATAAAGAAGTAAGTTTAAAAAATACATTTAGTCAGAAGTCCAAAGGCAGAGGAGAAAGACTGGCAGATAAAATATTTGAAGAGATAATGATAAAGAATATTCTAGATCTGATGAGGAAGATATAAACTCACATATTCAAGAAGTCTGGGAAATTTTATATAAGATAAATAAAAGGAAATCCACCCTTAGGCACAGTAAAGTTCAACTGCCCAAATCCAGAGACAAAAAAAAAAAAAAAAATGACAGGTCATCTACAAGAAAGACAATTGGAGTGATAGCTGATTTCCTAATAGTAACAACAGAAGACAAAAAGCAGGGAAAAAATAGTTTCAAAGTGTTGAAATAAAGTAAAGATATTTTCAGACAAACCGAAATAAATTCTAAAGAATTTACTTCAGGCAAAAAGGCAAGTAATCCCAGCAGAGGGTCTAAGATATGAGGAGGAATTAAAACCAAAAATATTGGTAAATATCTGGGAAAATCCAAATCAAACGGTGAATGCAAAAAAAAAAAAATGCTAATGTATTGTGTGGTAAGATATATATATAGAGAGATAGATAATTAAAATACATAAAAACAAACTGTAAACAGCGAAGGACTTGAAAAAGTAAAGTGTTCTAAGATCCTCATGTAAGAAGATTAAAGTTATAGATTAACTTAGATTTCACGGCCCAGAATTGGCTTATTATCTAAATTTGGTTATGCAGAATTGCATTGATAAATTTGGTACATCAGTAACTATTTAAAAAGTGAAGTCCATCAGAGACTTGGTATTATACTAATACAATTTCTAAGGGTCTGACGAAACTACAGCCTTTACAGCGGAAGATGACTTAGGCTGCAGCTGGTTAGGAAACCCTCCCTCTAAACCACGCTTCAAGATCCTGCTAACAAAATGAGAAAATCAAGAATACACAGAGGATAAATTTGAGAACTTCATTTCTTTGAACTTCAGGTTACAACAGCAGGAAACTTTGAATTCAGATTTTTTTTTTTTTTTTTTTTTTTTGGCGGCAGGGGTTGGGGGAATACACAAAAGGGCAGCAGTTGATATTGCGAGAACAGCTTCACAAAGATGGCGGTAAGTCGGTACTGGTATACTCCCGATATCTTCCTCTAAAGAACAGCCACATCCCTCATGTGCCCCTGAAGTTAAGGTGAAAAGATTTTAAAAACTGGGAAATGCTTGATATGCCTTGCAAGTGTCCAGAATGCCACCAGCATCACATTTCCAGCCTCTTTCTGCCGCCTTACTCGCTATTCTCCAGAGAGAATGAATAATTTAATCTTTGTTGGTGTTTTCAGAAGGAGAAACTGGCCATGTACAATTCAGTCCTTCCCTCTACTTTCTCACGTGGGTAGGATTTCTACAGATCCTCCATGCTACAAGTTTTGTAGGGGTAGGCCTTCTATATATGTGTGTGTAAGAGGTGAAGTGATCCTGCCCAGGTCTAGCATCTATGTAATTATAGGTTTCAATATTAGGAACCCACTTGCCCACAGACATAAATTATATTTTCAATATCAATTTTATCAGTATTAAAGATAACATCTTGCTTTCATACCTGAATTCCTCCTTCATCATATGTCCAAGTTGGTTCCAAGAACTCAGGAGGTAAAGTTTCCCTAAAACCTCCAATAATAGAAAATGCATAATTTTGGCTGCTCAGTCTAAATTTAACAATAAAAATCACAATAATAATAACATCAAAATAACCATTAAGAACAAGTGACTGTGCTATATGCAGAGCAAACCTTTTCTTTAATTTTCCTCATGACTCTGAAATGTAGGTATTACCATTTCCATTGTTTGTTCATTTCTGTCTTTTGGAGATTGTATTATAATAGAAACTCATCTGAAAGGCTACAAAATGGAAATCACCCAATAAAACTGGGCTTGAGTCCTTTCTAACTCTTTCTTGCTCCATGATAAATAAAACTACTATTCTGATATTTAAGGTCTTTTTGCTGTAATGATGGCCAGTTTTCTCCAAATAAACACATCCTAAAATCATGTTAATGTTTTTAGATAAAACTTTACATAAAATTGAGCAATACTTTTCACTAGAACTGAATCAAATTATTTCACTGTCTTTGATAGCTTGATCTAGAACACATCGTCCCATATTTATGACTTATTTAGCACATCAGCCAGGACCTCAAAGTCAGTTTTTGTCCTTGATAACTGTAAAAGCAATTATCAAATCCTAGAATCATGTCTTAGAGATGTTTAGTAGTCTAGAAAGGGATCAGCAAACTCTGGCAGGCCAAATCCAGCCTGCTGCCTGTTTTTGTAAACAAAGTTTTATTGGAACACAGCAACACTTACTTGTTTACACATTGGCTATGGCTCCTTTCACAATATCACAGCAAGGATGAGTAGTTGTGACAGAGACTGCAAAGCTCATAAAACTTAAAATATTTACTATCTGGTCCTTTACAGAAAACATTTGCTCATTGCTGGTCTTGGCATGGAAATTGATTCCATATTCTTGGTACTCTAAGTGGTAAGCACAATTCTTTCTCTCACATAGTCGCAGGCAGTACTCCTTATCTCTATGAACTTTCATCAAGTTGATGGCAATGATCATAATTTGAACCCAGTTTCCTCACTTCTAGTCAAATCATTTTTTAATCAGATTCCTTCACCAATAATTCCACCAGTCTTCAGCTATCAGTATTTCAGTGGAAGCCGGATTTTCAAGAGATGTTCAGAAACGCTTTTAGTTACTTATATTTAAAAATAAATTTAGAGTTGATAACTGCATACTCTACTCTCATACTTTAAAAAGTAGCCAGTCAATTGAAATAAAACAGGCATGTTATAAATGAATTACTAATATGTGGTGCTCACTGACTATTGAACATGAATAATGGCTAAATTTTCCATTTCACCCTAAAATACTGACACCCAGAATAAGGCTACTGATACTTGAGACATGGTTTCTAATTTCCAAAAAATCTTTATTGGATAATGATCAAGAAGACAAAAATCAACATTTGCTGATTACCTACCGAATGCATTTTACTAAGCAAAAAACCTTAGATAGATTACCTCATTTGATCCTCACAATAGCCAATGAGACAAATATTATTGCCCTCCTTTAAAAATAAAAACATTCAACTAGGAAAGATAAACAAGCATGCCCCAAATGGCAGGGTCTAGATTTGATATTTTTAAGGAAGGAACAATTCTACAACTTCCAAAATGTCTTTGAATTAAATGAACTCAAACTTTACAAGGCACTGTACATTTTATCCAAGGTGTTTTTCAAAATTATCTAACAACAGATATAGCACCAGCACCCACCAAAACCAGACTCCTCTGTGCCAGTCTTCACCTCTTTGCTTTTAGATTGTGAGAAATTCTGGAGACTTCTGGAGAATAGTCTGGGATAGTAGTAGGGGCAATCAGAGAGCTCAAGAAAGCATATATTTACCAACTGGTATGAAAACATCTCAATACTTTAACAACTGGTAGAATTGTATCACTGCCAACTTGCTGAAAAATAAATCTAGAAATCTTTAAGACTCCAAATCTGTAATTATACAGATGCAAAATCAAGACTAATCACATAAGCCATGTGATTGAGTACCCTATAGGGGAGCCCTACCCCTTTTAGTTCTCCATGATTGGCTATGACTGTTATATAATGTTAATTCAGCTGAACAGAAGATATAAGACAGTGCCTCTCAAATTTTTAATCCATTTTCTTTACAATGTTTTAGCATGATTCTCTATCACACGGATTGTCTGATTAAATATTTGATGCTATTAACTATGATACCTGGAGTTTCAGTGATCTAATTCTCAATGTGTCAGGTAAACATTAACTAAAGGATGTCAAGATGCCGTATATCATTATTCAAAGAGCACATACTGGGCTAGTCATCAGCCCTGGAGAGCTCAGCATGTGGCAGAGGTACATGGTACACCATAAAAATCATAGATTTTTAATGATTTACTAGAATAATGTTGTACAATAATTTAATGTTTAGTCTTTCAGCTTGATAAATTATTTAAACAAAAAGCTATTTTAAAAGCAACACATTATTAATTTAAAATCATATCAAACCGAGAAATTATTTTTCATTTTCATGATAAATCTCCATGATATGTAAGCCAATAATTCTTGAAAAAGTATTTTAAAATGATATAGGAAAACAGAAGAGAAAAAGTGAGAATGTACTAATTATTAAATACATAATAAAGCACATATTCGAAGCAGTCATGGCATGATAACCACAATTGTAAGATTGGATGATTAACTTTTCAACACTAGTTTAAAATAGCCTCTTTCATAAATATAGACTCTGCAAAATAGTCCCAGCATCTATCACAGCACAATTTTCATTACTCTTTCAATTTACAAAGAAGTGTTTATTTTATAGATAATCACAAACTGAGATTAATAAAATGGGATGATAATAAAGAGAAGTTAGGGATAAGTGTAGAGTTCAGCAATAAGAATATCATATACATATAGTAACTCATGTAATTTGTTTTTCTAAGTCAAAAAATACTGATGCACACTGTATAGCTCTTTTTTAAAAAGTTAGATCATAAGCAGTAATTTTGCTATCCCTTTACGTTAATGTAAATGTATCTCATTCCTTCCTCAGTAGCTTTAAATGAAGCATGTTCCTTTCACTCTGAAGAACTAGAAAATATCTCCACTGTTTACAAGACCTTATGTTTGATTCTAAGGGGAAACAAATTCTCAAAATGTCAATCATCTTAGTTATTTCACAGAAAAGCACATTTTAATACTATGAAATCATGTTTGGAGAAATTGGAAAATAAAAATTTAGAACTGACATTTGATTTTGAGGCTACTCACCACTCCTGGCTTACAGTTGTAATAGCAATGCTTGGAAGCGTTGTCAAAGGTAGTGTGGTCGGCCTGGAAATACCATCTCCCTCAGGAGTCCTTGCCCTTTCACTCTGTCTTTGAGACAGCGGTGGTAACTGTAAGTTTCCTGAGCAACACCTTCTCCCTCTCCAGAGATCGATCCCAAGTGTGTTACTGGAAGAACTGTAGGATTTACTCAAGCTACATTCAAAATAATCTTTAACATTCTGGAGGAACCACAGGGAAAGAAAGAAAGAAGAGAAAGAAAATGAAATTCAAATGTTAAATGGAGTGAAACAAGAAACTAACTGATCAAGCTGTCACTTATGATGTCCTGATTATCTCACAATCAGAATCTAACATTGATGTCAAAAGCTTAAGAGAAAACAATAGAAGAGGCTGATTCTCAGCTTTTGGAATAAACTTATCCATGCATATTCCTCAAGATTTTTAGGCATATAGATAATGTTTACCAGTTGTAGCATGTGGATTGGAGGCCTCCTTCTTTCCTTTCTATTTTAATTTTTTTTCATAATTTGCTAAAATGATATTAGCTAAAATTAAAAATATATTTTGGAAATCAATGTTATCATTCTTCAACTATGGGAACAAACTATGAGAAAATATAAAGTTTCTTGTTCAGCATTTTATGTATTTATTTATTTTTTGAGACGGAGTCTTGCTCTGTCACCCAGGTTGGAGTGATCTCAGCTCATTACAACCTCTTCCTCCTGGGTTTAAGTGATTCTCCTGCCTCAAGGACTACAGGCACGCGCCACAACGCCTGACTAATTATTGTATTTTTGGTAGAGATGGGGTTTCACCATGTTGACCAGGCTGATCGCAAACTCCTGACATCAGGTGATCTGCCTGTCCCGGCCTCCCAAAGTGCTGGGATTATAGGCATGAGCCACTGAAACCAGCCATTCAGTGTTTTAAGGTAAAAATATTTTGTATCTTAGAACAGTGGAATGTTGATAATTAGAGGTGACTGTTATGTTCTTATGAAAGGTCTTCTTACAAGTGGAGATACATATATATAGATATATATCTATATATATATATATATAATTTTTTGGTCAAATTGTGTAAAAATTCAGAAAAAGAAGTATACTTTATCCAGTCTTGAACTGCCATGTTCAAGTACATGCCCTAATGCTGACATTAATCATATACTTTGTGAGAAGACAAAGACATTGTGCTATACTCAATGATACAAGTTATTTATTCTTCCCATATCTTTTGGTGACAATGGGTCCTGAGATTGTTGGGAGCGGGAGGCCCTAATGAGCCTCTTCCTGGTGTACCATTCATACCAGTTGAAACAGAAAATGTTATAGTCCTGCAATGGCCACTGATACCAACTTAAGGTTTAAAAGTTAGAATTTTCACTGTCCACACCTGGCTAGCAGAGAATAACAGAAGTCCTAGTATCGGGGTAGTCTCTCACCTAAAAATTACTCTGTGACCCTAAAGACAGGTATTTCCTACTAGCCCTTCAGACTCGAGTTAGGAGAACCTGCGACTAGACCTCCTAAAGTTTAAACAAAGTTCTTTACCCTCCGCTCCTCCACTCCATGGCCCCTATCCTAATTCATACAAGGATAATTAACTCAAGTTTGAGGATCTAGCTGTGTTAATTCAACACACATTTGACACACATCTATTATTATTGTGCACTGTGCTGTTTAAGAAGGATACAATAGCAAAAAGAGGAATGGTATCTTTTCTCACAGAACATATAATCTAGTGATTTATACTTATCTGAGGCATGCAAGACTATATTTTGATGATAGAAATCGGGGCAAAAACAGGTTTGACAATTTTCAGGAGCCCCACCCTCCATACCAGAAAATGGGATACCATTATATTTTCTTTGCTTGACTTATAATTTTAAAATACTATTTATTTGAAATTCAGTAGAACCACAGTTCAGTATCAGGAAGAAGACAAAACAATTTAAAATTTTCCAGAGTTTGAAACATTCTGGAATGTATCAGTATTTCACTGTTTAGTAATTAGTTATTATATTAAATCCATTGTAGGTCTGGCACTTACTGTATGGTGTGTGTGTGTGTGTGTGTCTACATGTGTAAATTAGAAGCTAAAGGGAAAAACTAATATATATGCTTATTTTTTGAAAGACAAACTACTTCAGGAGACAAAATATATAACACCTTCCTGAAGAGATTTAAGAACAAACTAAATGAAACCATAACTGTAAATCAGTCTAGTTCCAAATATGCATGTAAAGAAAGCACTGGTTATCTGGAACGCAAAGTCTTGAATATATACTTTATCTCTTATGTAAGAAACACCATGCCAAAGAACAGAAATAAGGATACCTATCATGTAGCTAAACCACCAACCACCCTAGCCTCCTAATGTGATTATCAGATATTTTTCTCCTTTAGAAAAAAGAACTATTACCAATGAGGTTTAATTGTGGTAAGTGACCTAAATGGGTACTATTTGGTACTTGTTATTTGAAAAACAAAAAGACACACCTATCACAAAATATCTCCCACACTAATTTGCGAACAAGCTCGAATTTTCAAATTTAAAATCATTCTTTAAGTTAAAAAGATTTGTTCCAGAAGACCTCAGTTAACATTAAATGCATTGCCACAAAGTAAGAGCATAATGGAATAGCTTGTCAGAAATTAAATTCAAGATGAAAACTTAATATTGTTTTACAAACACTAATTAACTCATGCAGATTTATTCATAATTACTTCGCACTCTGTAATTCATACCAATAATTTATACACCACTACCCTAAAATTACTAAAAACCTCATAGTAAAATTTAGTTTAGTCAATTCTCAATTACTGATTTGTGATCTTGAACTTCTTTTCCTAAATTTTCAAAGATTTTGTGGAAAGGAACATTAATTTGAAAGTTACCTCTGGAAATCACAACTTTTAAAATGCATCATGGTTTCCAAAATTCACCTGATAATATGAACAATCCCTAAGGAAAAATCTAGTTTTGGTTTATCCTTCTGTTTCTGAATAATTGTTTGTTTAAAAGTCAATATTCTTGCCAATAAAATTTGAAAAGGTTGTCACAAAGGAAAAGGTAGTGTAAAATCCTGCACCTAAGTAGAAGTTTGCAGAGAGGAGGGGCAGGGGACACCAAAGGACAGCTCTTTGTGATAGCCCCATATTGAAACCAGCCAAGTTGGGACCATTGAAATGTACAGATGAGAAATGCTGGTGCTTAAGTAGTCAAGGTTTTGTTGCTGTTATTATTTGTCTTTTGTTTTTTCTATTTCAGTCATTTTTGAAGCATTCTCTACTTTTTGAATTCTTCTGGTTAAACTCATAGTGAGAAAATGGAATAAGGTATTTTTAAGGTCTCCTACTGTGCTTTGGTACACATTCAATTTGGACCACAGGACAGAATTTTTTAAGCCTTATGAAATCAGAAATGGAAATTATGGAAAGCAGTGAATGGCAGTCAGAGTCCCAATCAAAGCTAAATGTCATGATACTCCATGAGACAGTAATGAAAGCAATTTTTTCTTCGAAAACTGTGATTTTTATTGTTGGCAGTCACCATCAATTAGAAGAGTAGTTTTTTGGAGGTAATTATTATCACTCTTACTATTTTCCCTTCTTTGAAACAATCTCCTAATATATTTGCATATATAATTTCTGTGCTTAGAAATGCAAATGAGAGTCAAAGGTGTAATGTTAAGTTTTCTAGTAGCTACATTTAAAAAATAAAAAGAAACAGGTGAAATTTATTTTCATAACATATTTTACTTAGGCTTGTATATGCAAAATATGATATTGCAACATGTAATATTATCAAAAATTATTAATGAAATGCTTCGTATTGCACTGTATATTCATAATCCAAGATCTATTTCATGTTTACAGCACATTTCCATTCAGACTAGTACTTAACAGTCACATGTGGCTAGTGGCTACCATAGTGGACAGAGCAAATCTAGGTAATATTTATCCAATATGGTGGGGTTAATGTTCATATCCATTGCATTTTTCTTGCAGGCAACCTTCCTCTTGTTTTGACTATGCCCACTATTCCCTCAGGGAGGATCAGGATTATTATTCAAGGATGCGATGAGAAAGAATTAATGGTTTGTCCATCTTTTATAGATGGAATGCATTGATCAGTTTTATTCTTCCAAAAAACAAAATACTGGCGCACACAGTATACAAATAGTATTAAGGGACAATCCCAAGGCTTTTTTTTTTTTAAGAAAAAAAGTTTTCTAAATCCCAGAAGTTTTATTTTAGATATCCTGAGCAATGTTGGTACTGAGACCTTAGACTGTAACTTAAAGGAAATGCCCTTCTAGTCCAGGAGCTAGGAAGGGAGGAAAAAAAAAAAGAAGTAAATGCTGCCACAAGTGACAGAACAGAACACATTAACTAGGTTCTCTGACATGCAAAAAAAATAGAAGTGGCAATGGAAAAGGAGTGTATTTTGGAAGCAAGAACCTAAATAGCACACCTAACTCTCCCTCTGCACTGTGGGTCCTACAGGGAACATAGAAGAAAGCTGAGAATTAGTTCTAACATTCCTGCCAAAGCTTTGCTGCTATGAGGCAAAGGGCCCACAGGGCCCACGGGGTGAGCATCTGTGAAATAGGAGCTTAACAAGATGGGTTATTACAGAAAACAAGGAAAATTACTTTTCCTTCTTCCCTCCTTTCTTTCCTTTCACATATCTGATCAGCCGCACATAATTTTTAGCTCAATTACAAACAGTAATTGGGTAAAGATGAGACAATTAAAAGCACACTAATGAAGGACTGGTCAGTTGAAAGCAAAGAGATAATTAAGGACCAAGATCCAAAGCTATAGAAGATAGTTTACAGATTTCTTCAGATGATTTAGATCGGGGCTTTTCAAACAAAGTACATACCTATTTACTCTGCTATCCTGTTAAAATATAGTCTGATTTGTAGGTCTGAGGTGTGGCCTGAGATTCTGCATTCTCAATAAACACCCAGGTAATGCTAATGCTGCTGGTCCAAGGACCACACTTGAATAGCAAGGCCTAGGGGCTATGTATATCACAAGTTTCTTACGAGTAGTTGTCAAAAACCCCACCACAGGAAGTGACTTTCAAGGGTTAGCTGTACATGGGTAAAAGTGTGGAAGAAAGTTATCAGAGAACTGATCATGCAAGCAGTGTGGAAAGAGGAATTGTCTGAGAGTGAGGATATGGGCGTAGACTAGAGATTGGTGGTTCTGTGATTGAAAACCATAAAAGTGAAACTCAGCCCATTTCCAAGATGCAAAGAGGGTATTGCTCCTGCTGTCCAATTCACAGAATGCCAGATCCAGGTGCTGGCTATGCCCATGTCAGAAAAACACCTAGTCACAGAGTGGTGTGTTGAACACCCCCAGCTGCCCTTTGAATAGAATTATCCAGTGACTTCTTTATTGAACAGACCGAACATGATTGGGACCTTTTGGAACTTACATCATCGGCCGTCACTGTCATCACACTCCTGCTTTTCTTCATTATAGAGGTGGAAAATATCCCCTCTTAGGATGTCTGTTATTCAATGCAGCTTTGCTGACACTTTTTAATACCTACAGGAGAAAACACACACACAAAAAAAAACAACAGCTCTGTATCCTCAAAGAAAAATATGTGGCATACTCTCTAAAGTAACATTTGAAATGTGTAACATGTACATGCAAAACCAAACATCATAATTTACCAAGCCAATTAAATGTGATATGCTGAGAAAAGAGCTTCACAAAATATTAATACAAAAATCCAAGAAATTGGTACAAAGCTATTTGGGAAAAGATAGTAAGAATAATAAGTAACAATTAGGCTCCCAAATAATGATCATGAAGAATATAAAAAGAATATGCATTTTACACAGGTGCTTTATAGTTTACAAAGTATATTCCCATAAAATATTTTATTTGATGCTTGCAACAGTTTGTTAGACTATTTTCATCATTTTTTCTAATAAAGGAACAGAGAGAACAATTATTTGGCCAAGGTAACATAGCTAAAACATGACGAGTTCAGAATTTAAAGAATATGACTGCTTTATACTGTCAAAAAAGTAAAGAAAAGTAAACCAATACAAAATATATATACATGAAAGAAAAAAACCTTAATCGTCATTTTTACTACCAGTTTAAATCTTTCATATGTCTAGTGCATAAACTAGTAGGCAATTATTTATCACAGAAAATTCTAGCAACCAGTAGTTAGAGCTTGAATTTCCTGGTTTAAGTCACAGAAGTCTAGCTATTTTGAGATACAGATGCTCTAGTTCATGACATTTGCTTTGTGTAGATCATTGGAAGTCACTGTAGAAACAAAGAACCTCAATAACACTACCAGAATTTAAGGGTGCACTCTTATCGTAGAAACCAAAGGCAAAGCAGTCACTGGTTTATGAACACTCAAAGGGAAGAGGGTGGGAGGGGGGTAAAAGGTAAAATAGTATCTATTGGGCACTATGTTCACTATTTGGGTGATGGGTTCACCGGAAGCCCAAACCTCAGCATTACTCAATATATCCATGTAACAAACCTGCACGTGTACCATTCAATCTAAAATAAAATTTTTAAAATATAAAGTTGTCATACAATAGACTACAAAACAACACAAAGAATTGTGTTTGCAGAATTTAACTGAAAAAAGATGTAATATAAAAAATACAAAATCCGAGAAGTATTAGTCCATATGATGGTTTCACAAGGTCTTAGTACCAAAAATATCCTGTATTATTGCTGAGCTCAAGGACTCCTATATATTTTTTCACTGTGTCCATTTAACCCTTAATGCATGCTTTATTTAAAAAGTCTGCTTCTCTAGCATGAAGATATATATAGATTAAGAGCATGATGAAATTGTAGCTGTGTGACTAGGAATACTAAGTAGTGGCATTGTACCATCACCCAGGAAACCAGGGTTGAATTTCTAACACATAATTTGACTACATTATGCAGGAGTTGGCAGTGAAACTGACAAAGTAGATAAGAGAATGGGGGAAGGGAGAAACTTTGCCTTTATAAGTGCTCTAGGGAGAGAACCCCACGGGCTTTTCAGGTATTTGATTCAATATGCCAAGGAAAAGAATTTCCTTGGCATACACGAAAGGATGATTAGAACTACGATGCCCCTCTAATGCTGACCAAACAGCAGTAGGCAGAATTCTAAGGCTTTTACTCAAAGGCTGGTTGAAACCCAGCAAAAGTAGACAAGTAACAAGAGATATTTCATCAGGGTTATAGTCAATATCGAGGGCCTCTATAGGTAGGGTTAAACCTGAAAAAAAAAAAGTTCAAACTCCTAAATTTAAGAAAAGCAAGATTTAAATGTGTTTTAAATGCAGGATATAAAACTATACATACTCAATGATTATAACTGTAAAGTTGTGAGCATATAAAAAATATTAAAGGTGCTGTGTGAAATGATGATAATATAATAATGATAATAATAGAATAATGGAATAAGGGTTATAGAAGATTTCCTAAGTGAGTTGAATTTCTTCAGTGGAGATAATGTAGAACAATATTCAAAAATATAAAAAGGTATGCCAAGAGTGCAACACATGTAGAAAGATGCCATCATGCAGAGAGCAAAATGGTCCAGGGTAACATCAGTAGATCTTTTGAGAAGCAAGAGTATTTTTGTAAGGTCTTAGCCATGGAAATAATTTTGTTTTATGATCCTTTGAGTATGATAACTTACTGTATAAATTCATGTGTCTTCAACCGGACACATGTCCTGGCTCGGAAAAAGCAGGATCACAAGTTACAAGGCAGTTTTCCAACTGTTCTACAATAAAAATACATTATTTTATATTTAGGGAAAAAAGCCAACATATGTTATATAAGACCAAAAACAGCAAGAAATATAGATTGATTATTTTCTGGGATATTCCTCATTTGCCCCTTCAGACCCACTCTTGGCCCTTCTCCATTCTGGTCTGTGCCCTGGGAGGCTGGCCCTCAGGTGCTGTCTAGCCCTCTGGCTCCTGGGTATGTTCAGTCAATGGAGGCAGTTGCAAAAGATCAGAGGGCAGGAGGAAAGTCTGCTGGCCATAGTGTAGCCATGGCTAAAATATTCTCCTTGAGGTCACAGATCCTGCAGGACTTCCTATTTAGCTGTAGAACCGGAAGCAGCTTCCCACTGTTGCTAGCCTCCTAGTATTTCATAGCCCTTTTTGGTTATCCTCAACCCTGCCTATACCCTTTGTAAATAGTACTTCCATTAAACTTTCTTTCATCCTCTTTAAGAGAACAATCTGTTTCCTACTAGGATCCTGACTAATACAGACCTGCTTCCAAAACTTGACAATAGTCAGAATTGTTAAATATCTCCCCTCAGTTCCTAGCACAGTGACTGACACAAGCAAGTCTCAATAAATAAGTATTCAAAGAATAAATGAGTAGAACCTACTTGGAGATCTAGATTGGTTTTGATACTTTGAGAAAAGGTCAGCAAGCATTATCTCAATTTGTTTTTGTAAGTCAGAAATAGTTTCGTGTCCTCACTCACAGATGACAATGGAGATTCTTTTCAGGAACCTCTGCTGCCTTTTGTTTAGGCTAACAGAGATGGAAGATTTACCTTGAGTCATTTTTAAGCACTCTACATACATGATTTCAATGATATCATAAAAGCAACCAACCAAATGTGCTAGGCACAATTATCAAGACAAGTGAGGGCATCATGTCTTGGGAAAAGTAATGAAACCTGCCCAAAGGCATGCACTCTGCTGGTTAAGACCAGAACATTCTTGTTCTAAAACCAAGACTATTAACCTATCACTGTACAGCTGATTGGGTCTTATTTACATCTTTTCAAGGTGAAACTAAGTGAAATGGTTTTTGTATCTTTTTTTTCTGATGTTGGTAATACAAGTTAAGTTGATCAGTTTCCTGGAGCCATGCTCCCTGCTAGTGTAAGGACAAAAATAAGTGATATTAAAAGATACTAAAGTTTTTAAATACCTCATATTTAAGGCAAATGCTGTAAGTGAGAGGACAGATCAGGTTCTCTTAATCTGAGATTATTGTCCCTTATAAAATTTGCTTCTGAATAAACAAAACACCATATGCTTCATTAAAACAAAGTATTTCTAAAAATTTCTAAGGTGATAAATGTGATGGCAGATTCCATTTCTGATATATGTTTAATAGTTTTCCCTGTGGTTTTATATTTAACCACTTAAAAGATGCTTTTAAATTTATATTAGTCCTTTATAATTTTCTGTTTTATTCAGACTAGAATATTCTTTATATAATTGCACCTTTTCCTTTTCCCCTTTCTCAACAGATATTTAAAGGTTAAAATGAGGAAAAAGACCCTGACTTCTGTGTTAATAGTGTGAATTTCACCTTTCACAGGTTAGAGTTATCAGTACTAGTGACACTTGGCTAAAAGGAATTTCAATGAATAGTGATAATTATTTTAAAATTCTATATCATGGACACATGCTAGACAAAACCATGCAGAAATGAGAAAAACAAAAGTAATATTTTGAGTTTAAAAAATACTACTTTTTTCCAATTTAAAAAATATCTTTTATTTTGGAGATGATGTTCAAAAAGCTTTCATTCTATTTCTTATGTAACTGATTTATTGAACATTCTGAACTCAGTAGAGCACAGATATGAAGTAGTCTTCATTTTTCTCCAATAACTGTTTTCCATATGTAATATCAAATCTATTCTGTCCTCCTTAACAACAGTTCAGATTGATTCCGTAACTCCCATCTTGTAACTGTTTTAATTCAGTGGTCAGTGTCTGGGACTTGGAGTGGGAAAAGAGAATGTTCTACTCTTTTATTCTTCCTCCCTACTTTTATCTTCAGGTTCTAGCTCTTTCCATATTGCGGCAGAGTAGAAGAATTAAAGACAAGAGGGAAAAGTCTTCTTACTTAACTAGGCATTTAATTGCAGTCCTTTTTTGAGCGTCTCTGCTTCTCTGGTAAAATCAGACTCACTTTGATGCCTTCTCTAAGGCAGGTGTTGAGATGAGGCCCTTCCTCTAATGGGGCAGTAGGAGCTTTCACACTGGAGAGAAGTAACTTAGCTCGTCTCCTCAGTTCCACCCTCATTGGCACATATTGAAACTCTTGTTGGTGAGGTCCCCTTGCCTGATAGTCTACTCTCTTGATTGGAATAATGACATGATGACTCAAGCTGCATGTCCACTTGATCTAGAATAAGCTCAAGCATCCTGGTCACACTAAATATATACACTAAATGTATGTATACTAAATGTACAGATACACCTAAATGTATATGCTGCTTTAGTGCTGTTTCTTCTCTGTTCCCTGCTGTATCTCTCCACTTCTCTTTCTCCTTCTCATAAAAGCACAAAATTCTTCTACATAAGTGATCAATGGAGAGAAAAGATACTGTCAGTTATTTACCAATGTCTTGCAGCCCTAAGCCAATCATTCTAAATTCTGCTATGTGAATCAAACTACATTACAGACTACATTGCAAACTACATTTAACAGATTCTCTATCTAGGTGGCTACCTTTAGGTGTTGACAATGGAAATCACTGGTGGGAGACTTGAAGAGACTTGGAGAGAGGAGACCTTC